TCCGCCTAATGGACCACCCATGGATATCAAATTGGCAAGCCGGGTCAGCCATTGCACACTGGTCTTCCCGGTCCGACCCTAATCCAACAAAAATTTTGTCCTATCTTCTTAGAAGTATACTAAAGGATACTACCGGACGATGTTAGATAAAAAGAAAGTAGAAGATCGTCCGCTGCATATCACCCGTTGTGCTTATCTTCTGTTAGTTCAATAGCCTAGCTTTCCTATTAGCAACTCGATCACATAGGAATGCCAACTAGTTGCTAGGAGAGAAAGCGAAAAGAGCTCTTTAAGGGCAAAACTCGAAAAATTAAGAGATGCGAAAGAGGCATTAAGACAAGTTCATCTTCTCGTTCTGTGCCACTCCTGGAATTAATAAAAAAATAAGTGCTAAGTTTCAAATTAGTATATAAATCAAAACAGAAGAAGAGAAATTTCTCACTCAACGCCTAAAGCGCACTATGCTCCACTTCAACAAGTGAGTTTTCGGTGGAACCGGTGAATCAATCCTAATTTTCTTGTGGTACTAGAATTGATGGGTATATAATATAATTTTTACCAAATTTTATTTGCCAGTAAACATGGGTGGTCAGATAGCAGGTTTTAGTGAAAAAATTAATGGACCTATTAATCAAATAATCTACATTGATTTGGTAAACAAAGTTTAATAAGAGTTAATAATGCCCTTCTATCTAGCGTTTGCCTGTTACCCTGTGGAATTATTCATCTCAAAGGATCACTAACGGCAAACTACATTGGTCACATCTTCAAGTACATTCAAAGGCTTTATAGATATGAAATTGAATCGAAATTGAAATTTAGATCTCCTCTAATACACGTTCTTGTAATTCCCTTAATAGTATGTCATCAATCTAGAAGACTTCACTCTTAAAAAACAAATGGGGTGAACCCTAATATTTTTCACTTCATTTTCTTATCGCTCTCCGCCTTGATTTCATGGTTCAAAGTCGTGTTATCGGTCATTGACTGGGAAAGCTCTAAGACATATCGATCGCGTCGGCGCGGTGCAGTATTTGATGATATGATTTAATAGAAAATGTTGAACACGACAAGAGATTCAGATTATATCACGATGTCTCAAAAATCGCATCAGTCGATCAGTGACAATAATTCTGTGATTTGGGATTAAGTCAAATATAACTCGGCCGAGTCGTGCCAAACTTGAAATTTATACTTATCGTATAACAGTATTATTGCGAAAGATGTTGAATCAGATACGACTCTATTAACTCGTATTGGTATTAATCGATATTTTCCGCCATGATTAATTTGTGGTTGATAGATTCTATTGACAAGACAAGAGAGCAAGGTAAGGGAGCCACCATTTGTCTAGTATAGTGATCTTGTTTAATTGACGAGCAACTGCATTTTTCAACTTAACTAGGAAGTATTTATACCCGTTAGAACACTCGATTAATCATTTGAAAAAATGTACAATTCTCTTGTTTTATGTGGACCCACAAAATCATTAGAATATATCTATGAGAATGACCCAAAATTAGACCCGAAATTAGGGCCTTCAACTTTGCAAAGGCCGGCTACTGGCCGATTTGCCAGGCCATGTCTCTTCATGCCATCCAGAGTTTTGGAGGGGAGAGAAATTCAAAGCCTTACCTTTAGCAAAAATTGACGTCTTAATCTCCCGGTTAACAGACTCATGCAAAAAATTAAGTGTGATTTAACTATAGACCAACTCTAAGGGTAGTGGTAACAGAAACGAGTTATAAATTTAGACGTCTTGAGTATAAATTTTTGTAACTATTTGGAATCAGACCATGAGAAATTTATCTATCATGAATATCCTAATTTCGATGTGAATGATTTACCTTTGATTAGACTAAAAAAAGAATTAATCGAGGTACACGTAAAACTGATTTGAACACCTCTGACCGTTAAACTAAAAAAAATAAGACCATAATTTGATCATGTCTAGTGTGTCCATAAGGCTGGCTAACAAAACTAATTAACCAAACTATATTGTCTCTCCATAAAGCAAAATGATGATGAAAAGTCAACATCCCTGTTCAAAGTAAAAGATTATTGTGTCGAATCTTTAGGTTGGTGCACGTGATTGAGCGTGCTTTGCGGGACAAAGGTAACATCATCAACTAATAGGTCTTAGTTGTGATCCAATTGTGCCCCTTCCACATGGTTGCATTCTATCTGTCAATTTCAAAGGCTCAGACGATTGGACCAAAAGCTAGCCTTCGTGGTGGCTTCTTGATCCTTATTTCAACCCAATTTAATGGGTATCTTGTGATGTTGAAACTATATCTCATTCACTTTTTTAGTTTGGCTGTTTGTGGTGAATAATCCCCAAAAATGTTTTTGATGATGATGAGACTCGGATTTGTGACGTGTCGGATTGGGTATGCGTGGTGTGTAAATTATATTATTTTATAATTTATTCAATTTGTATACAATTTATTTCTCAAATAATTTGCATTGATTATTTTAAATTATGACCTGAGTCAGTTCGGACGAAACCAAATCATTTGAAATTTTTTTTTTGTTATAGGGTGTACGGGCTTACGTTTATTATTATTTCAAACTTGAATTCTGGCTATTATAGTTTGAGTGTATTTAAAACATGTCTTCTGAGAAACAAGAGCAAATGACCCTTAAGATGTGTTTGGTTTAAGCATTATGAAGGACTAAATTAGATAATATAATCCATTCTATACGCATCTATCTGGCCCCTAAAGTAATTATAGTGATAATGTCTCACCATTTTATGTTTGGTTCAAGTATTAAGAGGTAATGGATCTCACATTTATTTCATCTAATACTTTGTTTGAATGAAATATTAAATGATGGTACAAATATTAAATTACTAAATAACTTTTAAGATAAAGAGTGATATTTATATTTTAAAGATTCTTAAGGGTGAAAATGTTTTTTGCCCAAATACATACCAATTAGATTATTTAAATCCACAAAAAATTTGAGTTTATTTAAGAGGTTGTAGATAATATTAAATACATTATTCATCCGAATCGGTATTATTTATGAGTGATAATATCGGATTCAAAATGTATATTCAAACATGAATATAAGATAAATAAGGTAGACCCTACATTATTTTTCCAATTCCTATTTTCTAATACCCGCAACAAACACACCCTTAGGAGATCTAAGAAATGTTGAACCTAAATTCTGTGAATTACTAGATGACAGAGTCATCCATTAAACCACTTGATCATATTATATGATGGAGTTCTATAATTATCCTAACATGATATTAAGTTGTCATTAAATAAATTTTATCCAATTTCACCATTTAATACTCAAGCCAAGGTAATAGCATTTCTATTTCTTTATTGGAGAGGAGTCTATAGCATACATCCGGTTTGACTGTTTTGGGGGTGAAAGGCCACTACAATAAGAAACACTCCCATCTTATTATTAATTATTATTCATTTATTATTTTATATTCTTTCAAATAAGGCTTTGTTTTTAACAAGCGTGCCAACACATGTTTTAACGAGCTTTTACAAAATTATATCCCAATGTATGATTATTGCATAAGGTACCGAGCCACGCAACACATTGTTATTATGTTTGTTTTCTTCCTCTTTTATCGAGGAAATTTTGAAAATCTTACCTCCTCCCCTAACTCCACCCATACACATCAAATTTCAACCCGTCTTGCGTTTGTATTTCCTACGGTGGAACTACATGGAGATAGGCGGGTTGATCATGCTCATTATGGGTAAAAGAATTAAGATAATAACAAATTAACATATCTTTAATACGAATATCAAATAGGATAAAGAAACATTGGTTTCAAGACCGAGACAGAGACAATGGTTTAAGAATTATATAAATTGCAAAGTGATTCTTCTTGCAGTTAAGTGTTTTTCTTCTTTCCTTCTCCTAGTTTTTTATATTATGAGCAAAATAATTTAAACTTAATTTGATTAATTAATGTATCTGCTGAATTGGTAATTGGTAATTGACTTTAACCAACGTGGCGGCCGTACATAGTAGAGTAGTAGATCTATTCAACCATCAACCAATGTGCATAGTTGGAGGGAGAGAGAGAGAGAGAGAGAGAGAGAGAGAGAGAGAGAGAGAGTACTTGATAGTGATACTCTAATTACTCTTTACACTTTTGATGTACCTCTGTCAAAGATATAACCAATTTAATTCCACAAATGACAACTCCATTAAAAGAAGATCAACCCCTTTTTCCTTTTTGTCCAGTCCAACCAAGCTTTCTACCACTGTAAAATACCAAGAGAGTTCAAACCTAACCCAAGATCCCCATGCACACACTAGCAATTTCTAGGTGATTGTATGACGTTCGATCAATTTTAGACTTATAACTATAAGTTTATTTCCTAACACACGTAGTTAAAACAATTTCTCCTTAAAAAAATCGGTAATAAAATGATAATATGCAGTTTGAAGTGTAGTGGCATCAATGCATTGGTCAAAGAACACTATTTTATGTGGTCCCTGGAAATTCTAAAAGGACAAATTGGTGTAGACTCTTTGGCTCCATCGATAAATTAGTATCCGATTCGTTTTTAACTTAATACAACTCCTTATGCGTAGAACCCACTGTGCATGTTCATTTTGTTACTTAGTGTTTGAATTATCTTATCTCCATAATGCATTTTGGTTGATTAATTGTAGAGGCTTTTACACTTGTCTTCACTAGAATTTTATGTTTCCTATGTCTAAATCTCTTTTTTTAATAGGATTTTCAGGTTTGCACCGATTACTACTTGAACTCAACGGTTGCCCACCGTCACTCAAGTTAGATGACCAGCCCTTAGAAGTTGTAGAAAGAGATTGAATCTGAAATTTCTAAGTTTTTAATTAAAGTCTAAAACTCAATCATTGAACCACCTAAGGGTTTGTATAGTCAATCTTCTTTGATCATGCATTCATGCATGACTTAATTATATACACAAGTGTGTGTGTGAGAGAGAGGGGAGAGAGAGGGAGAGATTCCCATATGATTAATCAAGTAGAGAGATACATATATTGAAGTATATATATCAACACTTCTGCACTTGCTTTCTCTAAAACCATAGAGTCCAACAGAACTTCCAGTGGCTCTGAGTAACAGGCCGAGGTTGTAATCAGGATAAAATAGTAAACAAAAAAAAAGAGAAAAAAAAAAAAAGTAAAAGGGATAAATTTGGATGGAAGGAAAAGCCAAGAAAAGTAAACCCTAGCGGTGGAACCTAGCTAGACTTCTTGTGCCTTACTTTTCCTCCATAATTTTCTTTTTCAAAAATAAAAAAGTTGAACAAGATCATCAAGGGATCATAATCAGCAACGAGAGCCCTTTCTGCAGTTCAGTGCACCCGCAGCCCCTGTAAGTGAACTAACCAGAGAAGATGGTTTTGCACCCAAGCTTGAAGCCCTAGCATAGCTCGAGGAGGCTCCAGCACCTGATGGTGTGAAATATGCACCGTTCAACATTAGGTCTCCTTCTGACCTCCAATTCCAGTTCCTCCATTCACTCTCTGGTGCATCTTCATGCTTGGTCACCTGAATTATTTCAACGATTTTCAGAAATGCAACATATTTTTCTGTAACACTTTTAGTTCTCGTTATTGTACCAAAATTAAAAAATAAATTTGAATACTCAACTAGGTATTTATCTGAGATCAAATTACGACACAAAAAAATCTTTGTTATAATATTATTCTTATTTTACTGTAAATTTTGATATGATACTGAGTCGTAAATCTGCCTAACATTTTCAGTTTTCTGTTAAACAAAGTGAATCAAAAATGGGTTTCTTACCTCTTTGCTGAATCTTCTGTCGGGTGCTAGAAATCTGTTGCCTTGGCTATTAATGGTGGGTGAAGCACTCCCTCCTATTGCATACATTTCCCAATGGGTGTAGTCATTGTTTACCACATGAAAGTACCCATGTCTGCATCTGTATTTGTGAAAAAACCACAAATTCACCAAATTTAAAACCATGGCCCACCTATTTCATAATCAATATATAGCATATCTATGTGTACACAACATCTGGTATATACCCCACAGAGAGAGAGAGGTTTTTCACTTTTAAGTACCTTGGCATTCTTTGAACAAGCCCTTCACCGAAGTGATTGAAGGCAATTGTGATCTGCATGTCCTTGTCTTTGGCGTATGAATCACTGTGACCCAATAGCATGACCTTATCATGGTGGGTCATGTAATTGTTAGATATGGTGATAGCAGTGGACCCATAAATAGCATCAACCAGTCCATCATTACAGTTAGACAATGAGCAATGGTCCACCCAAACGTGGCTACCACCAAAAATTGACACACCATCACCGTCAGATACAGTCCTCCACCCATAGTGCCGTGGGGAGCTTCTCACCATAGCATTCCCTCCCTGCTTACAGTCATGTATGTTCAACCCATGAATTATAATATTAGTCACAAACTGTATAGTAATGCATGGACCACCAGCAATATGAACACTTGCTCCTCTACCATCAAGGGTCTTGAATGAGTTCATAATTAACTCCTCCTTCAATTTAATCACCATGTCACGAGCAAAGATGATCCACAATGGCTCATCTTGGATGACGGCGTGCCGGAGAGTCCCCGGTTTTGGGTTCACCGCATCATCGTCGCCGGAGTCGGTGACCACGTAGATTTTACCATCTCTTCCGCCAACTGCATTTTTGCCGAACCCAATTGCACAGTCGGCTAGCCTCTGACGGTTCTGCTCCCAATTGGGGTCGCACCTCCAGCAGTCATCAATGGGGTTTCCGGTACCACAAGAGAGATAACCCAAGTTCCTCCTTGAGGCATTGACGCTCCTGCATACACACAAATAACGAAACACATTGTTAGCAAGTAAGACTGTGTACTTCTAATCTGACCTTCCTAGATTCTCTAGTATCAAGAATCCCGTGTACTAGGCGATTCTTTATTGTGAGCTTCTAGAGTGTACAATGTGAACTATATGTATATGTGTGTGTGTGCAATGGAGACTGATTAAGTGGTGGAGGTGGATCCTCCTCTAGTGTACCTGTGTACTTCTTGTACAACTGATTCTGGGTCTTGTACTGGGGAGGAGAAGATGAGGGTAGGGGTGAGGAGAGAGAAGAGGAGGAGGAAAGGGAGTGAATGATAAGCCATTGCCTCTTCTTCTCTTTGGAGAATGGGGTTAATGAGAAAAATGGAGGGATGGGGAGAAGAGAGAATTAAAGGGGGTTTATAAAGAGAAAATAGCCGGGAGCAATGGCGTGATTAAACTAAACACGTGGGGTCCCAACTACTTCGTGATTACTGGTTTTACGGAGATTCTCCTGTGGTAGTTTTGGCCGTTAAGCAGAGCCCCAGCCTACAAATGTTGAAAACTTTAACCCCCACCCCAAAACCGAACCATAGTCTTCTTGAATTCAAATACCCTCAATAAGTCTGTCGTCGTGTCTCACCCAGGGTTACGCGGATTCTTGTTGAAAAATATTTTACGTATATTTAATTTATTTATTAATTCATGTCGTGTCCTATTATATTGAATTCGTGTTATATATGAATTGTGTATCAGTTATATCTGAACTAGTGGCATCGTATATTTTTTTTGATTGACTTTACTCGTACCTAATTTATTTATTAATCAGGTCGGATCGAATCGGGTCAGGTCTACTCATTTACGAAACGGTGACCTAAAGTCTAAAGAAGACCTAAACTCTCTAACTTCATGTCATGTTCTTGTTGTGTTGATAAGTTAGTGTCATATTTTGACTCTTCAACCTACAGATAACAAAACATGTTGTCTCTAGTAGTATTGTGTCTAAGTTGTGTTGTGTGAATTTGTACTTGAACTATATAATATCGTGTATAATTAAATTTATATTATATATAAATTACATTTAGCTGATTCGTGTTATGTTTAAAAGAAATCATAAATCTATTTATTTAACGGTTTTAATAAATCTATTCATTTATTACATGAATCCGTTGAGACTAAACCAAATTTCACAAATCACTAATTCTACATCGATTTAGTATAAAGTTTACAAATTTTGTCTGCAATTATCAAGTATATATATCATGGTGCATCCTTCAAAAAGGAGTAACCGTAGGTGGGAGGCCAAACAATAGCTTACCTTTCATCACATGCACCGACCTCAACTAGTGTTATCATTTTGCTCAAGCACACCTTGAAATCAGCCTCCCCTAAATTCAGGTATCTATGTCAGTATTTCAGGTGTACAAACACATGTAAATCTGCCCTACGCCTCTATTTTCCCTCATGGTCTTCATCATCAAAATGTGAGAGATAGCCTAAAGCCATTACAATATTATCTTGCTACAAGATTTCAAGGTTTTTTCTTACCCAATTCGAGGTAAGACATAACCAGGTACAGAGAAAGAGAGACGATTAAAATTAATGATTAAATACGTGTTTATCTCAAAGTGAAATTTGCGTTTTTATAAGAGTTGGAGGATTCTCATGTTCATTTCTGAATGGTCAAGATTTGTATTCAGTAATAGATTATAAGAGTGATGCCTTAATCAAGACTCCTCGCAATGACACGAATCAGGGTGATAGAGGTGGTGGGGGATGGTGGGGCAGTGGACGTGGTGGTGGTGGTGGGGCGATGGGTGTGGTAAAGTGGCAATAATGGTGGTGGTGGGGGATAGTTGTGGTGGTAATGGTGATCATGGTGGGACGGTTCCAAACAATATTTTTTTTTTTGTTAAAAGTACTTATGAGAAATAACTCGTAGAAACACTTTTAAAAAATCACTTCAAACACATTTTTATGAGTCTATTTTTCCTATTAAATTTGAGGTGTTAATATTAACCGTCATATTAACTTCAAAGTAAAATTTAAAGAGATCTTAACCGTGAATAGCAAAAGTCATTTTGTTTATCTTTTAAAATTTAAATTATATTGTACTTTATTATATAGATTTGTAAAAAGCACATAAGACGCGATGATGTACAAAAATGTTTATGCAAAATCAAGTAATGGATGAAGTAAGAGGATCTCAACACATGCAAACACAAAGATTGATTGCATTCGTTTTGGGTAATTTATTCTACTGGGAAGGGCTATGGTGGTAAGAGAATCCTATTGCTCAAGAATGTAGTGTGTTGAGATGTGTGTAATGTGTTTCATGTGCAGATGAAACTTATAATTAATAAGGGTGTATAGTATTCAGTAATAGACCATCACCATCACCACCCACCACAGTTGCTACCACCGTCGTCCACCGCCACTATCCATCATTATTGTTATCTTATTCTTATATTTATTATCATTACCACCATCATTCCACTGTCACCATCGTCAACTATCAGCACCAACCACCACCCGTCATAGCCCACCATCGCCATCTACCTTTGTCACCCACCCCTACTACACTTACCAGCACCACCCGTCATTGTCCATCACTGTAACCATCCATTGTCACCTATTCTCACCACACTTACCACCACTATCACTACTCTCACCACCCATTCGCTATCATCCATCACACTATTGCCTAAAAGTATGCATCGTCGTCCACCACCACCACCACCACCGTCACTGCCCATCATTACCAACCATCATCACCATCATCCACCACCACCCACACCCATCACCATCACTACCACCGCTGTCACCCATAGCTGCCATTACCACCATTGTCACTCAAAACCCACCACCACTATCACCATTGCCACCAACGGCTGCCACCCACCACTACTCATCCCCACTACAATTGGTACTTAAATTTATTTTTCTCTCCTCTATATTTGTGATTTGATTTTGTGTGTGAATATAAATATATTTATTGTTGAATATTTTTTTTATTATTCGGTACCTTCAAGCACAGGGAATAACTAGTATTTTAATACAGGTCGTTGGAATGGTTGCATTTTTTCTTGTCGTTTAACAATTAGTTGCAGGATCTCCATTGTGTGATTTTTTATATACTCCATAAGAAAGTGGAACATTACAATAATGTAACACCAACTAACTCTACACTAAGCCATTACCAACACAATAAACTTATAGATTTCGTGGGACCCTTAGATTTTGTCACCATTGTTAAAAAAATAATTCAACACTATAATAATCTTTTTCATTTTTGGTATTAACACACAAAAAAAACCCAAATACTCTTTAGTTTGTAATGGACATTGAGTTAGAAATAAAAATTTAACAACATTTTACATCCAAAATGATCGCTGATGTGCTTGTTTCGTATAACATCAGGAGGTTCATGACCATAAGACTGATAATTGAGTCAAACTACTTAGACTCCACTCGAAAAGGTAAATTTTTTTTATAGAGTATCTATTTGTCAACTACTAATACTAATTAATACGCGATGAATTTATATTTAAAGAAAATAGACCAACGTTCTCCACCGTGTTTAAGGGCTATCTACTCTGTTGCTTCATTCAATTAATAAATTAGGGATTACATGAAAAGTCTAAAGATCCTCATGACACTAGCCATGTGCTTTTGCTCTAGAAATCAAACTCCATGGTCCAATGGGCCCAACAATCTTCCAAATTCCGCTTTTTCCCCCATATATTTTCTTTATTTATCAAAACTAAAAACTCTTTTGGACCGCAGATATCGCCGCCAATTCTCACCAACAAATATTAGATGATTACACCGCATGAACAGTATCATTTAGCGTAATCGTCTATTAACAAAAGAATAAGCGAATAAGCGAATCCCACAAAATTCAATAACAGTCGTTCATATAATATAATATCCACCTCGTAAAAAAAAAAGGAATTCACTTTATTTATTTTTTAATTTATTTATTAAAATAGTTGTAATACGTGATATAGTATAACCGTTGTATTAAATATTTACCCGCAATCTAGATTCTTGATCCGGCAAAAAGTCGACCTCCATAGAATGCCACGTGTAAAATAATAGAGCCGACACATGGCCCGCAATAGAGGCCGTAGTATGCGTCAATTTACTGACGTGGACACTTCAAAGTGAAAGCTAAGTCCTCACATGGAGATCTGTTCTGTTCTTCTCCCTTTCACGATTCCCTTCTAGTATGCGGCAACCATGGCCCTCAATTGCGGATATGAGGAGAAAGGATAGCCGTCGATTTTATGTGAGAGGTCCTAATCAGCTTTTGCAAAGCTTGAGACAAAACTAACGTGAAGGTCTCTGTTAGATAAGTTAAGGTAGGGATCAAGTAAAGGGCACAGCCATGTTCGTTGTTGACTTTGATTAGGCCTCTCAATGCATTTTCAATTTTCTTGTATTCAAATCTAAATTCGATTTTAAAAAATTTGGTCTAAATACTGAAGGATTTTTATTTTAGCAATACATATTTATATTCATCAAAAAATTTTAATCATCTATAAAAATATAATATGATCCGAAAAACTCAATTGATTTAAACTTTCGTCAAATACATTTCTGAATTTTAATTCAAAACGTTATATAATAGATTCAATTATGAATTACAAATAAAATATATCAATTCATATCGGTTCAAAATTCGAATCAAATTTCAATCATACAGACCTAGCTTTGATGCTTTTTTTGGGAGGTTTGAGGGGTGGATGGTGTCTGGTGAGTGATGGTTACATGGCAACCTCCTCCTCCTCCATTCAAAATGTGGCTACCATTTGTCATGCCATGTGGTGATCTCTCTCAACCAATAGTTTTTCTCTCATCTGCACATTCAAATGTTGTATTTTTTTTTTTAGTAATTCGGAGGAAACTTAAACAATTTATTGTCGGATTCAACGACCTACGACAGATGTTGTATTTTAAGTCCAATGAAAAGATTTTCAAACCGACTATTTTTCAAGAATTTTCTGCCTAATTTGGTGGTAAAGAGTCAATATCTTCCCCCAGAATTCATCTCATTATTTGACCTTTTTTTTTTTTGGGGGGGGGGGGGGGGAATGCAAATGAAGTCAAATGCCATGTGCTAGACTTAGCTTTGCATGTTACGCATCTTAGGCGCAGACTATCAACAGTTTATAATGACCAACTTTGTAAAAATTGAAGTCCCTGTGAAGCCCCAACTGTGTGTAGGCCTAGAGGGCAATGTCCCCTAGCTTTGGTAAGACAGTTTAATTGGATCTAGTTTGTAGAGTGTTTGTTCTTATTTAGTCGATTGTCGAGTTTAGATTGTTGTTCAAACTCCGCACGACAAATCAACCACATGATCCAACAAACCTTAGAGATAGAGAGAAAATATTGATTGTCTCAACACAACAACAGGAGAGGTATATATTTTCTATCATCATCATGGGAGATAAGGTGGTCCACTTCAC